GCTTATGAGGTGATTTTGAAGGAGTAATTAAGTTAATCTACTCATAAGTGGCTGTAATATGTAGAGATGCCATCTAGGCCGTTTTTCTTCGTTTTGTTTTTCTTAAAGTCTATATTCATATATATACATGGTATTTTGGTAGATTGGCTTATGGGGTGATTTTGAAGGTGTAATTAAGTTAATCTTCTATAAGTGTTATCTTCCCTCCAAAACATATTAAATTGATATTAAAACACTTCAAAACTTACACCTCGGAGTTCTTACCTGTCGGGATCCTTCGGGAAACGGTGGTGCGGGATGTTCCACTGATAGTTGTTGCAGTTAATTGCACTACACTGTTTTCCTTTACTTTTTTTCTCCTCTCTCCTTGACATCTTGCATGTTGTCTGGGCGCAACAGTCCAAGCTCAACAGTCCCAAATGGCGGTAGCGCCCCTAGTGGCTGTTGGCAAAAATTCAACGGAGCTTCGCCTCTTAGTATCCATGCTCTTTGGGCGCTTGACTGTCCATACAGGCAGCGCATTTCTCCTGTGCTCTTCGCGCTGGTTAAACATCGACTCCACTCGTCTGTTCCTCGTTTTTTCATTTCAACAGGTCATTTTAAACATGGGTAAGTCCATATTTTAATCGTTTTTTATAACGTAATAAGTTAATTACAATTTGTCATTGCATGTCCATGTATTGATCGTGTTGGATAAACACTGAATGAATAGGGCATATTGTCCTGACCATTTTATTTAGGCTATGTAGTCTGTAGGCTCGGTGACACAAAATTAAAATTAAAATTGTAATGAAGTGATTAGGGTATTGAAAAATGTGTTCGGTTATGCGCTGTTGTGTTGTTTTAAATTATAAACACGGTATTTTCTCCTCACGTTCCTCAGTGCATGCTGTTATTTTATTTTGAAAATTGGCCGGATTCTCTCGTCTTTTCTGTGTCCGACTTCCTGTTTGGTACGATCCACTCTATCCAGCTTGACAAAAGCGCCCGCGGCTCGCGTGAAAAATAGACCAGACGCCGAACTGAAGTGCTGCCTCCGCGGGCTCTCCGCTCTGCTCAGCGGCCTGTGTGGACAGTCAGATAGGTTAACATGGGCGCCGATTGAAAACTGCCTCCGCTGCTGGGCGCCGTGCTTCGGTTCCGCGTCCAGTGTGTCCAGAATGGCACGGATGTGTGGATGTCTGTTCATCTTATCGTTCATGTCCTTATTAATGCACACTTTATAACTTGCTTGTTGGATTTATTAAAAACGACCGAATGAAAACTAAATATCTTTGAATATCTTAAAGGAAAATTAAAATGACCGGTAAAAATAGATTATGACCGGATTTTTATGACCCTGTCGGTCAAAATGACCAGCGACGAAAAAGTCTAGCACAACGTCTGCTATACATACTAATACTGTATGTTATTAATAAGAAACTTTCTGGAAATAATGAGTTAATATCTCAGTATGATTAGAAACTTTCCCAGAACGAGTACTGTTCTCTCTCTCTTTTTTTTTTTGAGATATTAAGTCCTTATTCTCTGATTCAGATATTAACCCATTATTTTGAGAATGTTTAAAATTATTTCTAAATATTAATTCATTATTTTGAGAATGTTTAAAATTATTTCTAAATATTAACTCATTACTTTGAGAATTTTTTGAGGCACTAACTAATTTTGAGAATTTTTTGAGATATTAAGTCAATATTTTGAGAAAGTTTGCACTGTAATTATTTTAACCTTTTGAAACCTGAGCAAAGTGGCTTGATTTCTTTTAAAGACATGGGAAGAAGGAAATGAGCAACGAAAGAATAAATAACCCAAAAAATTAGTAAGAAATTTTTAAAGACAAAATTAAAAACAAGAAAGTTAGTAAAAAAAAAAGAAAAAAAAAGAAAAAATAGAAAGAAATAAAGAAAGTTAAAAACAAACAAACAAGGAAATGACTTGGAAAACGTGCTTAAAAGTTTTAATAATTCTGTAACATAATTTTAAAATGTAATAATATTCATTCATTCATTCATTCATCTTCTAACAGCTTCATCCTCTTGAGGGTCGCGGGGGGGCTGGAGCCTATCCCAGCTGACATCGTGCAAGAGGCAGGGTACACCCTGGACAGGTCGCCAGACTATCGCAGGGCTGACACATAGAGACAAACAACCATTCACACTCACATTCACACCTACTGACAATTTAGAGTTATCAATTAACCTAGTCCCCAATCTGCATGTCTTTGGACTGTGGGAGGAAGCCGGAGTGCCCGGAGAAAACCCACGCTGACACGGGGAGAACATGCAAACTCCGCACAGAAGGGCTCCCACGCCCGGGATCGAACCAGCAACCCTCTTGCTGTGAGGCGAGAGTGCTAAGCACCACACCACCGTGCTGCCGTGTAATAATATTCATTCATTCATTCATTCATTTTCTAACCGCTTCATCCTCTTGAGGGTCGCGGGGGGGGCTGGAGCCTATTCCAGCTACATTGGGCGAGAGGCAGGGTACACTGTGGACAGGTCGCCAGACTATCGCAGGGCTGACACATAGAGACAAACAACCATTCACGCTCACATTCACACCTACGCACAATTTAGAGTTATCAATTAACCTAGTCCCCAGTCTGCATGTCTTTGGACTGTGGGAGGAAGCCAGAGTGCCCGGAGAAAACCCACGCTGACACAGGGAGACCATGCAAACTCCGCACAGAAGGGCTCCCACGCCCGGGATCGAACCGGCAACCCTCTTGCTGTGAGGCGAGAGTGCTAAGCACCATACCACCGTGCCGCCATGTAATAATATATTACTTATAAATATTGTTTTTCCCCATTTAAAAAAAACAAACAATTTTCTACATCTATAATTTTTGTATTTATTTATTTTTGCAATTTGTGGGACATTTCTCATCAAGTTGCTCATTGCCTTTTCCCCATATTTTTGAAAGAAAGTGCACCAGTTTGCTCAGGGTTCAAAGTTTAAATACTTGCGAAAGGCGTCTGAAAGCAGCACAAGAACAGTGATGTCGCTTTGGGTTTCAAAGGGTTAAGATACGTACTCATTATTTCAATAAAGTTTGTACATATGTCTATGTACTGGAAGCATCATCGATTAACATTAGTAATTAGCGGTTTCAGGGCTAACATATGTGTTAGCGATTAGCATAAGTGATGTATGAAAATAAAACAACAGTTCAGTTTAATAATTTCATATGAATGATGTCAGCATATTAAACAAACCCACCAGTGTGTGTGAAGGTGTGTTTCTTCATGTCAGACTTCTGGTGGAACCTTTTGCCACAGTACTGGCAGGGGTATGGTCGCGTGTCTGAATGTATGAGCAGATGAGTGGAGAGGGTGGAGGAGCGCTTGAATACTTTCCCACACACTGTACAGCCAAATGTCCTGTCCTAAAACAACAGACACTGGAGTTAAAATTCATAGCTACCTCATATGTGCATCAAATTGATTATCTTAGTAAGGATTTTTTTTCCAGATTCACAAAAAGAAATTCCATATAAAAGGAGAAGTGATGCTGACCTTGCCCCTGCATGGTGACCGTGCAGTGTCTGTCCTACTGGACTTGATGTGTGCTGGTACTCTGCTCCCATGACTCTTGCATATGTGAGTCTTCAAACTTGACAGACAGGAAAATATCTGCAAATGCAAGATGAACACAATGTTAACACATTTGAAAACCTAAAAAAGATCATTTTAGATACCAGGAGAGCGGAATTATCTTTAGAAATAGCTAATAGAATGTATTTTAATGTAATGGAGGGATGCCATACTTTGCTACAGAGCGGACACTCTTGCCTCGGAGCACTGATCTTAGAGCAGCCACTGCTCCTGGTCTCCCTCAGGAAGTGAGGGTGCTGAGTGAAGTCTGCCAGTCCCACAGACAGTTTTCCTGGATGTCCTGAGCTCACAGGAGGTCTGGACCATACCGCTGCTGTGGGAGATTGAGACTCGACTTTCTCGACAGGGCGAAAAGTATTTGAGTTGATGGGACTGCAGAGCTCAGCAGATCTACAATCTGAGTACAAAGACAGACAGGTAAGTTGACTGGCTGTGATACATATATGCAACTTTCTGAAACACTGTTGTTCAACAAATTGTTTGAATAATTGATTATCATATGTTAGATGATCAGAATTATTTGAATAATGTCTCACAACATTGCCTCCACTACAGTCATACAACAAATAACATGCATTTTCTGTCTCTGTAAAGTCTTGCTCAACATGCTTGTGTTAAAGGCCTATCCAAATGAACAAATGAAGTAGCTCTGACACCCACCATAAGATTTGGGACTGAATGGCTGAAGGTGGCCGTTAGAGTGGTTGGAAGTAGAAAGGTCCTGCTGCAGTAATGCAACCGGCACTGCACTATCACCTTGTATTTCTGCCGTGGAGTACCCCAGGGATGTATCCCAGGACCCTGCTTTTTTTCCAAGGTGGTGCAGCCCTCCTCGCTTCACCAAAAATGAACGAGGCATCACTCAGAAGGCAGGAAGAATTACTCTACACCCAAAGTCAAAGTTATCTAGAGGGTTAAAAATAAAACCAATGCCAGTGTTAGTGATGACATTCAAATGTACAGATAGGTTTGAATTAATATTAATTGAGTTCAATCTGGCACAGCTGTCACACAGACCAATCATTTATTTTCTTTATCTGAATCTTACTGATTACATATTTGTACAAATTACAGAAACTAAACCAGTAGAAATTAGTATTTTTCTGCTGCACAGGTTCATATATACTGTACCACACTGAAATGATGGCCATAATATTTTTGTTGGCCTATAGAGGGCAGCAGAACTGTATATTCAATAGTTTGTTTCCTGCTTGAATCAGTGTAAATATACTGCATCAACATATACTGTAGATTTGTTCACACTGTTAAGCAGAGAAAAAATGGGATCATCAGAAAAGACCAAATGAAAAAAATGTAGATTATAGTGTAACGATAAGTTGTTGACATTTGTTGTTACAGATGATAGCCTATTTTTGTTTTGTTTTTTGCCACCAGTATTTACAAGGCATGTATAGATATGTCCTCTGAGACCTGAACTTTTGTTTGGTATGCATTTTAAATTTCTCCTTGCTATCTGGGATCAGTAAGACCTGGTAAGTATAAAAAATGAAACATTGTCAATGATAATAAAAACCCAGTGTCCTTTAACGAGCTTATGAAAAATTCCCAATGTCTGCAAACCAGTACTTTCTAATTAACAGAGCCTTAGCTTGGTGCCTTTGCTAAAATTGGTAAAATTTGTGTGACATATCAAACTACAAACATTATTAATCATAAATAAACAAGTTTCGACCATAACATTTGATCAGGTTCTGTACCTTGTCCACTTAAGTGCCGGGGTTACATGGATTAGTGTATTGTGGTCTTAGCACTACTACAAGGAATAAAAAAAGTGTCCATGAACAAGGACAACAGGCCTAAGTTAAGCAGAACGAAGTATAAGGTCCAGTAAACCCAGAATGTGATGTCCTCATATACTGAAGAATCCAGTCCCTTTATTTAGTGACACTGAAATTAGTCTTCTTGTTTAATTTTGTTCTGCTCTCCTCTTGTTTCAGCCTCTGCCAGCTTTGCAAATCTGGATTTTGGCAGTCTGTCTATCTCACCTCCTTGCAGACATTCTCAAGCTCTCTTGCAGATGTTCAACTGTGATCTTGACAGATTTTTTTGAAGCGTTGCTCTGGACGAGTTTTTTCTCATGGACCTCTATATGCTCTGCTTTGGCCAGTTTACCAGCCTTTTTCTGTCACATTTGACCAAAGAATCTGTTTTTATTTCTAATCCGTCTTTTATATTCTGCTTGACAAACTCTGGGTGGCCTGTGAGATTCCCCTCTAGCCAACAGTGGCTTACTTGACACTATAGGCCTCACTGCTGCAGAGATGTTTCTCTTATCTGTGGAGCTTCTGCTAAACTACATTCACACTGCAGGTGAAAGCGACAGAATCTGACCGAAACTGACATTTAGACCTAAATTCACTACAAACCTGGCCTGTGACAGTGTGACACAAACATACCATACCAGATTTGCAAATATGTTGCTTCACTGCAACACATTTCATGAGTCAGTGCTAACACTCAAGCAAAGGTGAGGCTGCAGTGGAGGAGATCAGTGAGGGACGCTGAGGTGTTAAAAAACAAACAAGCATCTTGAAATAACTGTAAAGTGATAGATTAACAAGCTTAGGATGTGAATAATAAGAGATGCTGTCAATTGTCTCTATCTTCACCTGCTTGTCACATCTGTACTAAAGATAGAGGTAAAGCATCCCAGGTGTCCTCAGACTGTGTTCAATTGATTTAATACCATGCATGCCTGATATATGCATCAAATGCAGGACACAGAGAGGCACATTATTTCACTGTCTACAGGCCTTTTGATATTAAATCTTATATAACAGGTTGCCTGTGGGGATGGATGAAATAGTCAGATAAATACTTAAGTAAAAGTAGTAATATAACATTGTAAAAAATACTCCTAAAAGCCTATTAATTTGCATTTAAAATTCTATTTAAGTGGAAGTGCAGGTATTAACAGCTAAATATCACACGTAAAAAGCAATATATTATTACAACATTATAAGATTGTTAATACTGGTACAATAATGTATAAGAAGCAATTAAGTGTTGGTTGGTCAAAGCTGAGCTGGTTTTGACAACTTTATATACAGTTAGTCAGTTTACCTCAGTGGTTCCTAACCTAAGGGTCAGGCTTCTCAATAGGATAAATCGTGAGGGATCATGAGATAAATAATGGGGTAGGAAAGAAAAACAAAGCTCTGTTAAACAAATCAGTATATGAATTTGTGAAATAACGGATCATTTTTATTTGATAATTAAATCAAACATCGGAGAAGTTTGGAGGCAAAATGCTAATAAACCCATGGACTTGTGACACAAGTGACACAGGGCCCCAACAAGACTCTACTTTTCTTGTATAGTGTCACTGTAGAAACATTTTAAATACAAGTTATATGTGTGGTAACATACACATTTATTTGTAAGTTTATTTTAGTTATCTCTTATTTTTTACTTTGAGGTGTTTTGTATGCAAGGTCTTGTGAAATTGCGCCCTAGCGGTATGTTCTGTGTGCACCTTACTTTGTATTGTTTATACAGATACATTCAGATATACAGATTTGTTGAACTAATTTTAAAAAAATCCAGTAAACATGCTTAAAAACAAGCTGTTGTGATCGCATTAATTTAGTAAGACGCTAAATCACATTTTGTGTGATAAATCCAGCTATGAGAAACTTTGCACAAAGACATATATTCACGTATATTTTTCATGTTTTGCATGAGCATGTTGGGTATTCTAGCTTTTGTTTTTGGCACTGTTAAGGTCAGGAGGATCACATGGTCAAACTGGCGCCAAATATTGACCAAAAACCCAACATGAACGGCCAAATAAAATGTGGCATATATTCCCTGTCACAGTCAGTATGAATGGACGGTCAGCTCAAGGCAGGGTCGAGGTAGTTCAGACCTTTTTCATTTTATAATAACAGAGGTTTCAGTTGTTCGTTTCTACAGTGACTTCTTTGGCATTTTTACATGAGTGTGCCCTGTGAACCGTGGGTCGATGTACAGACAGCTGTGAGTCCAATTACTTGAATTTGAAATCCAAATTTTATCTCAAGGATTACTGCAAGACATACACACATTTTATTTTTCTTTAGCTCTATCCAAACACAGGTATAGCATTTTTTAACGTCTGTTTGATGTTGGATTTATCATATTTTTTTTTCATGCAGGTTTAAAAAAAACAACCAAACATACAAAAAATCATGTTAAATTTAGTCTGTGAAACATGAAAAAAAAACGTAACTTTCTGTAACATGTGTCACTATATTTACAGAGGAGCAAAGGTGTTGCAATATGACTGACAGCTCTGTTTTAGCTTTATATTTCATTTGAACAGTGTTTGTAAAAACTGAATAACATTTCTGTTCATGAACTCTGATATTCATTAGCCTCAATTAGCTTCAACTTAACCACAAATTTTAACCAGAAATACTAAGATTTTTTTTTAGGTATAGATATACAAATACTCACCAGCTTTTATAATTTCCACCAGTGCTTCTTAACATCCCACACAGGCTTCACACTATTTATTTAACTGAGATAAAAGTCAAATAAGATGATGGGAAGTCAGTGTGTCACATGTGAGGTCAGTCTGCGCTGAGGTGGACTGTGAGCCGTTGATGTTCTCTGCAGGTTGGTGTGATGAGAGTGAAAAAGGACGAGGAAGTGTTTCAGCTCTGACACCTCTGAGCCGGCAACCACACTGCTTCCTCACACACAAACCCAAACACTGCACACTCGCAGCAGCACTAAACCTGTCCAACTCTACTTTAAAAAAATGGTGCAAATTGTGGAAGGATATGTTGCAGTGGTGCACAAACTAAACCCAGCATCAGATTAATCTAGGGACGACAGATAAAGCCAATGCGAGAGGAAGAGGGTGGTGGATGACTGTGCTGAAAATTCTTCAGAAAGTGTCGACACTACTATGTTGACACAGTTGGGTTACAAAATAACCATTGAGGTCAAGTTTAAAAAAAGCTGGCTCACCCACCGCACATTAATGAGGAAGAGACGCAGCAGGAGGAAATATAGTGATAGAAGTGAAAAACTATTAAACGCACACCAATGAGTCACATCATCGAACTGGCATCTCCCTTCAGTTTGATGATGAACAGGGTGCTGCAGCGTGCACTGAGTCAATCCTGAATCCTGCTGAAATACTCAGCAGGTCACTAAATGTGTATTAATCCACTGCTGGAAATAGTTCCCTGCTAATACACTATTTATGTCTGTTTGAGTAATGTTTTCAACAAACTACAGTGGCCAGCTATTTTAGGAGCCTTTTCAAAGAATGAAACTAAAGCCTCAGTAGAGACAAAGGGCTGCGCAAGGAAGTCAGAAAGCAGCGAGAGATGGACAGTTTGTTAGTCATGGTCTTTTAAATGGATTTGTTGATATTAGAATATTGAATAAATTCTACTTTATCCATTAATTATATTGTACTTGTGTAATCACTTAAGAAAATCTTAATTTTAAAGGTATTTTTGGTGACATTCACACTAAGACGGAATATACAGTACAGGCCAAAAGTTTGGACACACCTTCTCATTCAATGCGTTTTCTTTATTTTCATGACTATTTACATTGTAGATTCTCACTGAAGGCATCAAAACTATGAATGAACACATGTGGAGTTATGTACTTAACAAAAAAAGGTGAAATAACTGAAAACATGTTTTATATTCTAGTTTCTTCAAAATAGCCACCCTTTGCTCTGATTACTGCTTTGCACACTCTTGGCATTCTCTCCATGAGCTTCAAGAGGTAGTCACCTGAAATGGTTTCCACTTCACAGGTGTGCCTTATCAGGGTTAATTAGTGGAATTTCTTGCTTTATCAATGGGGTTGGGACCATCAGTTGTGTTGTGCAGAAGTCAGGTTAATACACAGCCGACAGCCCTATTGGACAACTGTTAAAATTCATATTATGGCAAGAACCAATCAGCTAACTAAAGAAAAACGAGTGGCCATCATTACTTTAAGAAATGAAGGTCAGTCAGTCCGGAAAATTGCAAAAACTTTAAATGTGTCCCCAAGTGGAGTCGCAAAAACCATCAAGCGCTACAACGAAACTGGCACACATGAGGACCGACCCAGGAAAGGAAGACCAAGAGTCACCTCTGCTTCTGAGGATAAGTTCATCCGAGTCACCAGCCTCAGAAATCGCAAGTTAACAGCAGCTCAGATCAGAGACCAGATGAATGCCACACAGAGTTCTAGCAGCAGACCCATCTCTAGAACAACTGTTAAGAGGAGACTGCGCCAATCAGGCCTTCATGGTCAAATAGCTGCTAGGAAACCACTGCTAAGGAGAGGCAACAAGCAGAAGAGATTTGTTTGGGCCAAGAAACACAAGGAATGGACATTAGACCAGTGGAAATCTGTGCTTTGGTCTGATGAGTCCAAATTTGAGATCTTTGGTTCCAACCGCCGTGTCTTTGTGAGACGCAGAAAAGGTGAACGGATGGATTCCACATGCCTGGTTCCCACTGTGAAGCATGGAGGAGGAGGTGTGATGGTGTGGGGGTGTTTTGCTGGTGACACTGTTGGGGATTTATTCAAAATTGAAGGCACACTGAACCAGCATGGCTACCACAGCATCCTGCAGCGACATGCCATCCCATCCGGTTTGCGTTTAGTTGGACGATCATTTATTTTTCAACAGGACAATGACCCCAAACACACCTCCAGGCTGTGTAAGGGCTATTTGACCAAGAAGGAGAGTGATGGAGTGCTGCGGCAGATGACCTGGCCTCCACAGTCACCGGACCTGAACCCAATCGAGATGGTTTGGGGTGAGCTGGACCGCAGAGTGAAGGCAAAGGGGCCAACAAGTGCTAAACACCTCTGGGAACTCCTTCAAGACTGTTGGAAAACCATTTCAGGTGACTACCTCTTGAAGCTCATGGAGAGAATGCCAAGAGTGTGCAAAGCAGTAATCAGAGCAAAGGGTGGCTATTTTGAAGAAACTAGAATATAAAACATGTTTTCAGTTATTTCACCTTTTTTTGTTAAGTACATAACTCCACATGTGTTCATTCATAGTTTTGATGCCTTCAGTGAGAATCTACAATGTAAATAGTCATGAAAATAAAGAAAACGCATTGAATGAGAAGGTGTGTCCAAACTTTTGGCCTGTACTGTACAACTTTGGTCAAAAATTGCCACAATGGGGGACTTATTTATGCTAAAGATTCGGTGACATCAACAAAGTTGGACTCATTTTAAAACTGCTTCACCAGCTATATGTAAATCCATCACTACTAGGTTTGTGTGTAAAGACCTTCCGAAGTTGGTGGAAACTACTTGTTAGTTTCAAACTATTCACTAGCAATGAACTATAAACAGGAAGTCACCGTAGTACAGCTGCCAAAAATGTAACCTAAGTGCTAAACCTTTGTGAATGTAGGTATAACTACAGGTTTGTCTGTATCTGCAAACATGGAAGAACTTTGTTTGTCAATTTGTTGTGTTCATGCAGTTTAGAAGGAGTGGGGAATATTTGATTATCCTAAATGATCTAAACTGCTACAGTCATTTAGTCTGGTCCGGGATGTAGTGCTATTCATTTCAATATCGCAGTGCATCTATGACACATATGCAATTTTCATTTTGTTATGTAACTGCTGTCCTACAGTGGCAAGTTTACATATATTAGTCAGCTGTAAATATAAAATAAAAGGATTTTTTTGCTGCCTTTTCAACTTCACTTGTGAACAGACTGAGAAAAAATAATTAATTGTGCTGCTAGAGCCTACCGCCAGCAGCTACTGGCAACTTTTTAGGTAGTATGTTTTGTTGCGTGCACTGGGGATGGATTTTATCGGAATTTAAATGGTTATATTTTGTATTTATTCTGAAAATATTTAAGCCCAAAAACCTGCCGGCAGGTATCAAAACACGTCTCATTTAAAATGTCGCCCAGAATAAACTGTTGGCATTAAACAGATCCTGTAAAAAATATTGAATTCTACACTCCTGCATGCACGACATTTTTTCAACTCCAGGAGTTCAACTTATGTTTTTAACTCTTAAACATTAAGGTGTAAGTTTTATAAAATCTACTAATGTCTGCTGATATTATTCTGGCCGCTGATGCCACTGTGTTGTAGTTTATTTGGGAAAACGGTCATTATGTTGCTAATGCTGGCTGTGTGTGTCACTGTAATGTGTGTGTGATGTGTAGGCTTATTAAATGTTGTTGGTTTTCTTGTGGCTGTCATGCACCTCTGAGGAAGTGCAGTTCCTATTGTTCCTATTATACCCCAGTCACTCAGGGAGGCTTCAAGGACAAAAAATTGTAGCGTCAGGGAACGTAAAGATAAAAAACAAAACAAAACAATGTCACATCCTAGCCACCCTCCTTCTCTAATAAGTAAAGAACAGTCTAAATATTAAGTACCAATAATCTCCTTTCACAGCCCAGCTCTTAGACTGGAGCACACACGGGAATCACGTGGGTATACTAACTAATAAAGTTAATTATTCAACACAAAATACTCATGAGAGCAATTGGTTAAGTCAGTAGTGTAGGGAGTGGATGAGTTAAAAGGTGCTGCATAGATGTTGAAAAAGTACCAAAGCCACACTGCAGAGGTGCAGCCCAAAGACTGGCTGCTACTCTGGCTTATACACACAGGCACACCTGGTCCAGGTGTGTCCAATGTTAACCTCCCACCAACAGGTCTGCAGCCCTGGAGACAGAAGGCAAAGCGCACCAAGTGGAGGAGGAAGTGTAGTGCAGCCTGTTTTAATGCATTGATGTGTAAATCTTGTCTTAGTAGAAGACTTAACATTTTAAGAAAACTATTACTGGAGTGAAAATAGTAATAAACAACAACAAGACAATCAGGCCTTTGCAAAGGTGCAATGTCAAAGTTTATTTTGTATCATTCATAGGATACAGAACACTGAAATGTATTTTTTCCCCCATCATACTGGAATTTATATAATCTTTACTGTCATTTAATATATTTGATAACAACATCAGTTGAATTGCAAGACAGAAAGAGAGAGGGTGGACAAGGTTCCTGGGTATGATGCTGTGGATATCAAACAGCTGTCATATACAGCACATAATTCTGATAAATCCTACACCTGACTAACCAGCTGGAACAGTGCCTTCTTTGAATCTTGTGACACACTGTTTTGTGCTGCATTGTCTTATTTCCTGCTTTAAATCAGGGAAAACGAGTGTGTACGTTCCAGGTTCAAGATGATAAATCTGGAGGAACACAGTGTGAGTGTATTTCAGTCCACACATCACTGACTTTATATTACATGGCTGTTTAATGAAGGGCTGTAGTGGCCGACTAGTCGATGAAACCCTCGTTAAACATACATGAAGTCGTTTAGCATAGTGTGTAAATCTACCTACCTTTATGGCACATTATGATGTTTGATCATTATGGTCTCGTGTAATGCAGGAGAAACCAAAGTACTGATGGTAATTATAAAAATAATATTAAGGATGAGAGCTAGTACCATATTCAAAAAGTAATTTACAAACATATCAAAATGTTTCGTCACAGTAGATAGAGTTGTATGTGGACAGTGGTGAGAACAGAGCACCATCACTGGACAGCAGTGTACAGATGTGTTGAAGGACACTGAGCATTGCTCTGAGTCCAGTTAGGGTTAATTTTGGAAAGGAAACTGATACTCAGTCCCGAATGACAGATTCCTACAATTATTCTATGCACTCTTATTTTTTTGACTGAAATCCAAGCTGAAACATCAAAGTTATAATCCTTGCGAATTTTGTCATGGTAGATCTGGCAACACCCGCAGTTAGTGGTGGAATTGGCAAATACCTTTTAATGATATGACTCCAAGAGATTCGTTTGAAACATGCTTTGTGGTTACTCTGTCAGAAATTAAACAGAAGAAGTTGTCCATTTGTTTACAGTGCAGCCAAACAAATCATGGGCTGAGAAGATCTATCGCTTCACAATGTTTTGATAAAGACGTGTATGGCTATGTTCACATTATAAGCCAATGTGGCCCAAATCTGATTCTTTCAGAGTAGTATGGACACAGATATCTGATTTTTTCAATCAGATCTGGACCACTTCCATATGTAGATCTAGATCTGATACATATCCGATACATGGCCATGCAACCGATGTGAGAGATATCGGAAATTCACGTATGTTTTTCCCATACATTCATGGTTTTTCCATGTCATGCTTCACTGCATAGGAAGAGATCACTCACCGCACGGTGTTGGAACGGTTGGTTGCCTACATGCCATGATAGCATTGTCGTGAGGCGCCGACAGAGACATTGGAATGTAGCCCTGGACATCCTAAGGTTTGGAAGAACTGTTACTCCATGAAACCCTCAGCGTCGCGGCCCCACCACTCCTGACTCCCCCTGCTCCCACAACTCTATCGCCACGTAACTACCAGCAATGCTAACAAAGCTACGGCATTGCGTACCTTCGTCCTCTCACCCTCATGCCACTGTTCTGACTGTTCATGATCCCTAAGCCTCGATCGTCTGAAAAATGTCGATTGCAGAAAAGTGGGCAGTGCCCTCCTCAACATATGAGGAATTGCCATCCAAATCATTGAAGAAATGAACGTTTGCACCACTATGTCATTCATGTTTTCCCCAATGCCTGTTTGGCAAATGTCATGGTCGTTTGTTGGAGTTCTATGTGTGTGAAGTTATTGGTCACCTGAGGTGTTTAAGGGGCAGATATCATGTAACACTGATATCAGACAGGCTATGTGTCACTTCAAACATAAATGTGAACAGTCTAGGCAGAAAAATCTGATCTGGGGATAAACTGCACTTGAGTATTAAGCCTTTTGATGTGAATGTAGATTAAGGGTCAAGCAATTAGTACTGGAAGTGTTTATATAGCTGTTTAAACCACCCAACCTTGACATTGTCCAGGTAAATATCCAGTTGCGTGCATACACATTTGGAGTGACTGAAAATGATGTCAAGAATGAATTTCATACCCAATTTACTATCTTACCTCTGCACAGCTGGCCAATCATGGCATGCATGAAAAGGATGTGAATGTCAGATCAAATACTTACACTGAAAATGAACTATTTACTGAATGTAAATGCATTGAATAGCTATTGCTATTTAAGAAAATTACAGAATAAAAATCTCAAGGATTATAACTTTGAGAGAAATTCAGCCAGTTAAGACCCAAAGTAAATAAGGGCCTAAATTTCATGCTCGACAGAGCCAATGCCAATCTGTACATACTACGAACTAGAGGGAACTCAACTGAAACCATTCGTACAACGCTCATTTAGTTTGACGATATCCAAACACTGACTCCAGTGCAGAGATTTTAGTTGCTCCATCCACCAATGACCACTAAAAGGCTGTTATTTGCAACAGTATGGTGGGCAAACCAACATCCTCTTTAGCTCTTTGGTGGCCATTACTGGAAAATCCAGTTTCCTTATTTCTTCAAACATGGCAATAATTCTCTCCTTTACCATTCCTTCATTTGTATTGCACGGAAATGTTAGTGATGAAAGTGGGCTTTAAGAGAATTTAGAGAAAATCCTTCGACACCTGTCTGAGGAATAATGAAGCACAATACAAAGTCAGGATGGATAATCTCCGAGCAAAGCACTCAGATAACGTCAAGGTCCCGCAGGAGAGCTGAATATAATAAGAAATGATCCCACCAAGAATCCATTCATCCACACCATCTCTCACTGCTTAATGTCATGAGCAGAGACTTCCACTTTCCCTGTAGTGCAAAAAGCAGATCACTGCTCTACATATGACACCCTGTTTGATAAAACTATACACACTCACCACCTTCAGTAAGACGTGACTGACAGTGATACAGCTTTAAATCTTATCTACATACTTTTGTTCCTGTAACACTGTATATTTCATATCTCTCCATACATTTTACACCTTTTTTTCTACACAGAATATATTAATGTTTGATATGTAAAATATTTTCCACCCACACACTACCTGTTGGCATCCTTATGATATTAACCACTCCCTCCACTTTCATCGGCCCACATGCTGCAGTTTTAGCTGTCAAAAAGTGATATGAGCACATGAACTGGTGATTCCAGATCAGCACTGTTACCTGGATTTCTTTTGGCTTGTATGGGACACTGATAATTAAAGGAATTGTTTGACATTTTGGGAAATACACTGAGAGGACTGACACTACTTTTGACGTCTGTTTGTTACATATGAAGATCTTAGCTTAGCATAAGGACTGGAAACAGAGGTGAACAGCTAGCCTGGCTCTGCCCAAAGAGCTAACGCTAACTAACATATGTTTGTTGAAAGCGACTAAAGAAACTGTCACTTTAAAGAGAAAATAAACTCTTCCTTTTTCAAGTTAAAAGTTGAATTAAATAGCAATTAAAATAACCTAAAAAAAGGTTTGTACAATTCAGTACTATCAGGGTTTTTACAGCTTCACTTGGCCTTGTATAGTCTCACATAGCCAGACATATCTTCACTGTGTCACCACTTGAGAAAGGTCTGAAATCACCATATTACCATTCTGCTTTAGACGAAAAACGGTCTGGATTTTTTGCGTTTCTGTAAACCAATCACAACTGTCCTGGGCCGCGCCAGTATGCAGAAACAGGGTCCTTGCAAAACAGTGTTGTAGGAACACACATGGTGACAAGGCTAACTGTCAGCATCACATGGGTAACATACCTAACAATTATTAAAGGGTTTAATGACAGTCGAGTCGAGCTATTTTGGTATTAGTGTTGAGTTTGTTGGGACTTTTGAGTTGGGCGTCAGCCCTGCTGCTGTGTTAGCTCTTGCTATACAGGAGACTCACTAGGAGGAGAGTGGCTCCAATGACAGCCGCACCAGAAAGGTTACTGTTCTGGAGTTCTGGAGGGGAGTCAGGCGGTCCGGGGATCAGCCCCCCCCCCCCCAATAATAACCCCCCAATAGAAGACTTTTTGCCAGAGTCTACATCCAGAGAGTCAACCTGGTATGACCAGTTGCTAATAATGTTAGCTAATGTTAGCAAACTTTTGGTAGGTATCGCACTGTATTTGTAGCTTTAATTGACATGGTGGAGTCAGTTCAGTGGCCTTATGATCCTTTCCTAGTTGTGCTAATCCTGCGCAAATAAGACGAAAACAAGCTCTGTAATTCTCAAATGCACCCCTAACTGTGCTGCAAAGCAAATAGCCTCTCGGTGCTCCTGTGCTGTTTGCAAGGTTTTAAATTAGGTAATAGGCTATGCACACATTTGGTGCAAAGTCAGCCATTTTCTATCAGAAAATGTAAGAGTACAAATTACAAACATCAGCACTTATAGCCAGACGCAGTGACATTGAATTTATTAGTGTCTTTAAAAGAGATGGTAGTAAGTGAAGTGCATTTATAAGCGGTGTCATGCCCAGATTTTCCAGTGATCATGGCAGGCCAGGCATGTGCGTTTAAAAACGCTAACAGCACTGACAGACTGGGATTTTTAATCCCATTTACAGCTTCTCTCAGGCACATTTAAATTCCTTGCCTAAAGTTTTGAGGAATACCTCCGCATGTCATTGGTCAAGACCTGCAGCTTACAGTCTGAACATTTCAAATTTCTTTGTCTCTCTGTCAATGTCCTGCCTACTGTGTACTTGCCACAACATTTATGCTCTGCGACATGGATAATTGCAGTAAGATGCAAAAGTTTGTGAATTGGACCTTGAGATGGGGCAGATTGCAGTTGCAAGTGATGCGCAATTCATGGTGCTTTCAGTCGCCACAATCCATTCTTTGTAAATTCGCCCCTCTATATTTTAGCATTTACCATTGTACCACAATTGTGTCCACAATGTCTCTATGCCCGGCTAAGCTAAGTGAGTGGTGTCAGACTTCTCATTTAACTCTCAGCAGGAAAGCAAATACATGTTATAAAATGTCAAACTATTGCTTTAACTCACACATACACAATGATCATGATTGGCTTTTAAGAAAACCAAATTGTTCCCATCATTGCTAAATGAAGCTCCAGGGAGTAATCGAGTTCAACTGCTCAGTTTTCATATCTGATCAGTCTGCACAGTTGTTGTCACCCTAATCTATGGCAGAGTTACCAGGAGGTTACATGTTCACCTCACGAAGATTACACAAACAAAAGGGAACAGAAAAAACAAAATGGAAGAAGTAAATCCAAAATCATAGCAGCACATTTCCTGTCTCTGAAACAATCAGTGTCACAGTGAACCTGTAACAGACGACTAGTTGGCACAAAGGACGGTGTACAAAGTTTGGCCTCTGTCGGTATCTCTACACTCCTATAGTTTCATACAGATATATAAAATATAAAAAAAAATATATCAAAATAAATTACAACATATAAATAATTAAAACAAAACATAACAAAACAAAAGATTTGGCAACACTGAGTTTCTTCCTTCCTTGTTTTGTGGGTGAATATGTTTTGAAATGAGCTGTTGTATTAACTCGCTTGGCTTCTTGTCGTCTGCCAGCCACAGACAACACATATATTTAGTTTGTTAAAGTGTTCATGAGTCATTAATGAATGCCTGTTTGATGTGTACATATTCCTACACTGCACCTCTCCTTCTCATACTCACCACCATAAACGTTTTACTTTAACACTTGGTCTACTGAGAGGTAAACGGATGGCTGATAGAAGGTTTTTTTGTGTTGGTCTTCCTAATGAGAGAATAAAAAGGGAAAAGAGAGGATAGGGATCTATTTAACTCTGAACCAATCAGGAAGGAGAGTCATATAAGGGTAGACAGAGCATACAGTGTGTCAAGTGTCTATCACTCAGTTTATAGAGAGGGAATACTTATTTTCTGTCTACCCATGTTTCACTCCTCGTCACAGTCACAGGTTCAGGTCCAGTGGTCGATCTTGAGCAGCAAGAGGCAACAACAGTCTTGCTGGTCCAGTTTTAGTCTGTTTTGTCTGTTTGTGTGTCATATGTTTGTGTTTGGATGCTTTCTGGCACGGTTACACGTGGGAACAAGGAAGGAGGCTTTACATTACCTCTTCGTCAGGGGACACAGGATTGGACAGTGTGGGGAACAAGGTGGTGGAGACAGTAGGAGCAGAGAGATCAAGGGCTGATGATCAGAGGAGGTCCAATCAATGCCACAATCTCTGCATCAAGTTAACGGTAAACACTGGAAAAGCCGAGGAGGAGGACTGAATTGGATAATACAGCCCCAGTTTACAGTAGAAGCTCCAGCGTCTCTTTAGCTCAAAGAAATCCAATTAAACCGACACACCCCGGCAGGTTTCAGTTATCCAGCGCCTCGGCGCACACCATGCTGCCATACAGCTGCTGTGGGTCCGGGTGTGTCAGAACCCGCTCCTCTGCCTCGCTGTCCGTGCTGCCCTCACTGTCGAGGCGGGCAGATGGGTGACATGGGCCGGACAGGCTGGGGTAAAGAGCACTGGGAGGCAGCGGGCTCGGGAGGAGGTCCTCGTCTGAGCTCAGGTAGTCCCCCTCGGCAGAAGCGGGACTAGCCAGACAGAGATCCTGGTAGTTGGTACTTCCACCTCCACTGCTGGGGGCTGCCTTCTGCCCTCGTAATTGCCTGACCTAAATACAGAAAAGAAGGTTTTACTTTAGTCGATGCAACAGGGAGGTTTTGTCTATACCTCAGAGGTATTTACAATCTTAAGGCAATGTCAATAAATCCCAAGAAAATTCCAACAATCTGCTAGTTACCCAGTCTGTGTCACTATTCATTCCTCGCCTAGGTCCAGACCTTTGAATCTGCCCACTTCACAGAGAAGTTAAGTTACGTTACTAAGTTACAGTTGACTAATTCGTCTGGCATAATGATATGAAATAGTGGTTTCTCAGTTACAGCTGGGCACTCTTGTTTTTTGCTAATGTTATTCAAAACAAGTAAACTGTGATGTGGTGGTGGGAACTGTGGTGGATAAGGCACAGATGGTGCAGCAGGTTGATGCATGTGCGATCAACTCAAAATAAACTACAGTGCCCCAGTTAAATGTAGTAAATGAAGATGTAATCAAGTACATCATCGTGGCTCATTGATGTGACTGCAGACAAATTGGAGCTCTGTAGCAAAGGGGTAATATATTGGTAAGTGAAAGAATTTTATTATAATATCATATACTTACATAATAATAGCCCAAGGTCTAATAGTCTATAAGCTGTGTGAATCTATTAGACAAACCTTTGAAAAAACATTATATGTCAGGTGCTGGGAATTTTTTTAACAGGTTGCCGGGTGTGAAAAAAAAAACCCCAGTGAAACCCACTGATCTGAATCTTGCTTACCATCTGAGGTTGTGCAAATAGGGCACTGGGGTCTTTACAGCTAAATCTGAGCACCTGCCTCTCCTGTTAGGCTGGGGAACTTGATGAGAAAATTGAACGTGTCAAAAAAAAAACAAGAAAGCTTGTGTGTTTCCGTTCCATCGCTGCTGACCAGCTTTCAGATTATAGCGGTTGTTCTTGCCTGGCAGAAGAGCTACCGCCACAGTTTATCTACACATGCATGCTTTTTGCGTGTTAACCCTGCATGTACCACAGTGACTCATGACAAATCTCAGAGGTTTTTGTTTTCCCCCTATCATACACTCAGGCTGGCTGTAGGGTGGGGGGGGGGAGGGGGGGGGGGAAACCAGTGGTTAACCAATGGAAATGTTTTGACTGTGTCTTGACTGCTCTTCATGCTACAGCAAAATAAAGACCTGAAGTCGGGCTGTTTTGGGCGTCATTTTCTATCAGTTTGTTTGCCAAATTGCCAAATTCCTGTCAAGCTGAATCACACTGAAGAGCATGAAAATACATGCGTGTAAAATCATTATGTAAAAGCTGTCGTCATGCATCATCGCTGTTATTATGACTCAATCGAAAGATGACTGCTTAGAGGAGGACATATACTGAGATTTTTTCTAAATGGTTCATGGCTTCCTCATCTGTACTCACGCAAGTTTCGCTCTCATTTATAAAACCACTGCTTTGATTATAAAAAAGGTGGTGAGAGTAGAAGAGAAGAGTGGAGCAGTAAAGGGCAGGGCAGTCTCATCACACCCCCTCGCTATATACACTTCCCTCCTTGTCACGCACTGTGACTCTCTGAATGAACAAACCCAGAGTGTATGGTGGGTGAAAAACTTTGCATCTCCCCAACAGGGTGGAAAAGGTCTTCATAAAGACAGACAGAGTGAGCAACCGTGTACAGAAGCCACACAGCTGTGGGTTCACCTGAGACAGAAAAAAGCACGTATTCTTTTGAAAGTCAATCATCTTTCAGGAGTAAAGTTCACTGTGAACCAAATGATGAGAATACTGTTGTTGGGGAGGAGCAGTGGTCTCTTATTACAAGAAATACACTGAAACAGCTGGGTGAGTGTATCTGGGTGGAAGTGGTGTCTGTTGTGAGGCTGCATGTAGATGACAAGATTCGTCTGTGGTGGTTAGCAAGACTGCAGGGTGTCTGTGTGCACTCTGTGTCTGTGTGTATGTCTTCTATCTGCACGCCATTTTGAAGTAGAACTCACCAGTCAACACAATCCTATCATGAACACTGTCATTAACTATGTGTTTGCCAGCTATGCTACTGTAAACCTAATTAATCATAGGCACATGGATTTTAACGGATCAATAACTGCTGTCAAGAAATATTTGGAATACATTTTAAGTCATCTGTCACTGCCTCAGATCTTACAACAATCTGCCAATGCTTTATATCACAAGTACCAGGTTTAATAAAACTTCTGAATATCTGCAAGCTGAAACACAGAGGTTAAGATTCAGATAGGTCTGGTCTGTCTTTTAATGACTGTTTCCACTGGTTGGAGAAACAGTCGACTAATTAGAGCTTAGTAGGTGGGATTCAGAATAGGGATAGACCATCGCCTAGGCCGCACCCCTATTGGGGTAAATTATTGCTCTTTCACACACAGGAAACAGGAAAACGCTGAATAGCTGTTGTTTAGCAGGTTGCCCAAGGCTTTACACTGATATCAGAGGCACATGGCTGAATGATGCTGGTGACAGTAACTACTGATGGACAGCTAAGGTTAGCTTGTGTAGGAGGCTGCTGCAGTACAGTCATACAGTATAGCACCAACATTTCAGCCTCAATCAAACATTTGGCTATTAACAGGTTTGACATTTACAGATGACACTCAGCCTAATGATACTCGGTGAACCAATCAAATATGTATGATATGTATGATATCCAGCTGCTGTGATACATCATCGATCCACTTGGACAGATGAAGACTGATGGGACATAACAGCAGTCAACCATAATTCATTAATGTATTGTGAACGCTCAGGTTTAGTCAAGGTTGCAAAATAATTGTTAGATATGTCTATAAAGCAGATGTTTTGGGAGAGAATAATTGAACACACATTACGTAGGTGCAAGGCTATCAAAAACAACATTAAGGTAAAAAGTAAGTAAATGTGCAAGCATTATTCTTTTCCTTTAAAACAGATGTTTAACAAGAAATCAATGCATACAAACTTAAATTATAAAATTATAATCCTTCATTCATTTTCCGTTATGGCTTATCCTGTTGGGGGTCGTGGGTGGGGCTGGGCTGGGCCTATCCCAGCTGACATTGGACAGGTCACCAGACTATCGCAGGGCTGACACATAGAGACAGAAAACCATTCACGCTCACATTCACACCTACAGACAATTTAGAGTCACCAATTAACCTGCATGTCTTTGGACTGTGGGAGGAAGCTGGAGCACACAGAGAAAACCCACGCTGACACGGGGAGAACATGCAAACTCTGCACAGAAGGGCTCCCCCACCCCGGACTCTGTGAGACGACAATGCTAACCACTGCACCACAGTGCTGCTGTCTATATGTCTATATATCGGTTTCCTAACCGCCCCCCCCAGAACAGTGCCATTTATTGTGTTTGTGTGTGTGTGTGTGTGTGTGTGTGTGTGTGTGTGTGTGTGTGTATATAATCCAACCTCATTCTTGAGCTCAGCGATCTGGTCCCGGAGCTGGTTGATGTACTGTCTGGAGTCTGAGTGGTTCAGCTGGCCCTGGATCAGCCCCTCCTCTTTCTGAAAAACACATTTCACACACTGAAGGTTAAAGTCACAGTTTCTTTATCATTACACTGTGTTGAATCAATCATCATACACACACTTCATGTATATACAATCCTTGCAAACACAGAGGCACATACACGCAAGACACACACACACCTGTATCTCGAGATCAGCGATCTTCTGCCTGAGTTCAGCCATGGCAGCCATACTGTCTGCTTCCCTCAGTCGCACCGCCATCACCTCCTCTTTACTCTGCATGTATGAGGGGAGAGAGAAGATGACATTTGCTGCTTAATAGCTGAACTCTTTGGATGTCGGTGATATACTGGATTTGAGTGATGGATACTGACAATGCACCATGAACTGTCTCGCTCCCTCCATCTACGTCCTGCTCTGTCCCTCCTCCCTCCTCCATCCCTCATTCCAGACCTCCTTTATTGCGTCTGTCCTTCTTTTTCAGATAAGAATCCAAGAATTTATAGACTCATTTTTCACCCATTTTTTCTGAAACATTTTCTATTTCTGCTCTGCAAAATCTACCTTCTTCTCTCCATCCTTCTCTGTCATCCCCTCCCTCTTTATATGCTCTTCATCCCTATTTCTGCCGTCATACCTTGTTGTTCGTCATCCAGTTTGTCTCATTACTGTATGTAAATATCTTTTATGTTTCATTAAGCCGGACCAGGAAAACATCGCCCTTCCCATCCATCAGCCTGTTCTCCCTGTTACTTCTCTCCCCCTCCTGCTAACTCCTTTTCTCTTTCTCCTTCCTCTCCATTCAGACCTTGCAGTCAGACTCGGCCTGCTTCCTTTTCATCTCGTTGAGCTGGGCCTGAAGAGCTTTGTTCTGATTGGCCAACATCTGGAGCCGGTCCTGCAGGGCGGAGCGTTCCTGATCGTTGCGACCAATCAGCTTGCTGTGGATCTGGTTCTAAAGTGAATGAAGGCAAAAGTGAGAGTGTGAGGAGGGCTCCAATTTATTATCAATTTCATCATTAATAAATTGTTAGTTTTGTGCCTGATTAATGAATGAATCATTAAATCAAAACCATTGTTTTTTATGATACGGCACATTTGGTGTGCACTCTGCTTTTGTGCCACATGCAGCCTTTTTCTAGTGGCATAAAAATTTAAATATTCTCAACTTTTCAATGCAAGGTTGTGGGACAATGGCAACTGCAGATGAAAGGTCGATATCAGCAGTATTTAATTACAGTGACCTTTATGATTCAAGGTCACCTCATTATTTAAATACTAATTGGCAAATGCATGCCTGGAGCTGCATGAGCAGCAAGATGAATCTCTCTGGTGAGTATAATGCCACTGACTCTATAAATAGGCTAGTTAGCTGTTGGAGCGTGTGAGAGCTACAGAGTATGTGAAAGGGAAGGGGAAGTTCATATCTCATTTCAGCGACGACAGGAGCGCGACATCTGCTTGAATCCATTTTTTTGCCCCCGTTAATCACATGTAATCACTGGGTTACGCACACAGCTCTGCTCTACAGGCATCAACTTAAAGTGATACAGTGAAGCTAGAACCAGTAAATATTGTTAAAAGACAATCAACCTGCTATCAAAGCTGTTTCTTACTGTTAATTTCTTATCAATTTTTCTGACTAATAATTTTAACACTAGAGAGGAGAAACACACCACAGGGATGAGCTACCTTCATTATTTTATCAATGCTGTTGCCATAAAATGCTTGAAACAAATCATAGCGCGTATATCTGTGTATGTAAGAAAGAGACTTACAGGGTTTGCATACCCTCTATAAATGACTGAGAATACAGTATGTCTGACCTGGCTCTCCAGCTGCAGGGCTTTGAGTTTGACCTCTCGGAGCTCAGCCTGAGCCTGGGCCTCCCTCAGTCTGACTGTCATCAGTTTGTCCTGCAGCTCGTTCATGGCGTTCTTTTTCGGGGATTCTTTCCAGTGGCCGCCCCCGCCACCTGTGCTGCTGCCACGGGACATGTGATGCTGCGGAAACACAGAGTAGCACAGCTGTTAACTCTCCTGCCCCTGCGCAAACAGGGCACATGAACATGCACACACAGGTAGTTTATAAGGACACAGCAGGCGTTTGTGAGTGTTACCTGCCAGCGTTGGTTGAGATCAGTGACAGTGTCCTGCATCTCTCTGAATGAACGCAGCGTCTCCAGCTCTCTCAGCTTCATCTGCTTCACCTCCTCCTGCAGAGCCGCCATGTTGTTCTCATCAGGCAGGCACGTGCTTCTCTGGAGGGAAATACAGGTGGTGTTTACAGTTCAGAAAGATTCATTAACTAGTCTACAGTTATGCTAATGGCTCTGTGAAGCCACATATAGGCACAACAACACTTTAAGCTAAAAGCTAACTGATGTTAAAGATATACTTTGTAGGATTTTCCTAAAGATCAGTGTAAAGATATACAGAAGATATCTCTGTCAATCATCACGTATGACCCACTAGAAAGTGTGTGTGTGTGTATTTTTCTGCAGAGACTCTGTTCTCTGCCTGTATTTTCTTATTTTCTGTGTTTGGGAAGTTTATGGGCGTGTGCTCCCACAGTGGTGGTAGCGCGCAGGTGAGGTTGGTGCTATATAAAAAGGTAGCCACCTGGCGCCAGCCTGTAAGCTGCAAACATCTAAGGGACAGAGTTCTGGAAAATGTACATATAGCAAGGTGAAACACTAAATGAGAATGAGTCTGGGGTTGGCCTTTACTTTCACTTTCACTGGTGAGCATATTTACGAACAGTAACCAGCAATCCTGCATAGTATACCTTTAAGCAAGTATAATATTTGCCAAACATCAGCATGTTCAATCACCTTAGATTTATGTGTTAGCAGGCCCAGCTGAGGCTGATGGAAATGCCATTAGTTTTGCAGGTATTTGGTCATAAACCAAAAGCTGCGATACCTTTGCCCTGATGATCATTGCAGAAGACATGTTAGGGGTTGGGGCTGCAGCTAATGATTTTTTCCACTGTCAATAAATCTGTTGATTATTTTCTTTTCTTGTTGTTTGGTCTACAAAATATCAGAAAACTGCGAAAAATAACCATCAGTGTTTTCCAAAAGCCAAAGATGACATCCTAATATGTCTTGTTTTGTCCAAAACCCAAAGATATTCAGTTTATTGTCATAGAGGAGTAATAAAACCACAAAATATTCACATTTAAGAAGCTGGGATTAGATAATTTTGACTTTTTCTTAGAAGAAAAAGACTTAAACCAGATTTTTAACAATCAAATTTGTAGTAATTTAATAGCTGACAACCAAACAATCAATTATTTAACTGTTGCAGGTCTTTTAAGGGGTCAACTAAGTCATTACAGTTCATTCTGAGGCAAACATGAATGTCTGGAACACATTTCATGGCAACCCAATCAATAGTTGTTGAGACATTTCACTCAAAACCATAAATGTCAACCTGTTGATAGCACTGGAGGAAAAGTCAGGACATCACCGAAGTCAGTAGGGTTCATTCTGAGGATGGTGAATGTTTGTACTAAATATCATGGCAATCAATCCAATAGTTGTTGACGAATTTCAGTCTGGACCAACAAACAGACCAACCATCAGACAGCTGCTTGTGTGACTAAAAAACAGGAGTTCCTGGAATATTAAAAAATAGTAAAAGCAAATAATGCCAGATAGAGGCATATTTGCTTCTTCTAGCTTTCAGTGTTATATTACAGTAAAATCATCATCGAGGGGGAAGCAGAACTGTTGTGTCTCAACACCTTACGAAATAAAACGGAAAACTTGAAATGTCAAATGTGCCTTTGTTTGAAAATAACTTCAACAGCTTACTTCGCAGTAAAATAATCTTTAACACTTCCACAGATACACACGCCTGCTGCTTCTGCTCATCTTTCACACTCTGCTTTCTCTCACACACTACGATGCGTGTGTGTTAGCTCACCTTCTCCAGGTCGAGGACCTTGTCTTGCATTTCCTTCAGTGCTCCCAGCAGTTCGGCCTCGCGCAGTCTGGACTGCTCCAGCTGGGTCTGCAGGGAGCTCACAAACTGATCTGTGTACTGAAACAAACACCACTGGTGTTAAACAGGTACATCATATAACAGTGCAGCGGGCCTCCATTGTGACTTTAGACATTTGTTGATCAGTTTTCTTGAAATTGTGTTGGTACACAGATATTTACTGACGACTGGGAACATTAGCCAACTGAGCTTGTTTAGGTCTCATGCACATTTAACATCCAACAGTTTTTGTTGTATTGTCATTTGCAGAGTCGTTTCAGATGACAGAGTTAGTCATTACTTCAGACTTAGTTCAGCTTATTACCATGGTGCGTCAATGGGTGTGAATTCAGTCCACAGACTGCTGCTGTATCGCTTTATCTTCCTGTTTCTTTTGTTTCTGTTGCTGAGAAATCTAACACCAATTTGAGTATTCACACACTGTCATGCACTCTTGAATCCTTGCATGTACACCAGGGCTGACAGAATGCTTTGACACATATATATATATATATATATATATATATATAGATATATATATAGATATATACGCTCGGGGTATGCCATATCACCTCGTTCACAATAATACCGGTCTAATTTTTAATATAATATTAAAAATACTTATTGCGATACTTGTGATTTTTCGACTTTTTTTTTTTACATATTGACGTCATACTGTGTTACCCATGGCAACAACAAGCATGCCTGAAAGCCAAATTATTACAGACTCCGCGGTGATTCCAAAAAGAGGAGCAGCTTCAGTAGTGTGGAATAAACAGTGGCATCCTAAATGTTTTATGAACAGCCTCAGACTTCTCAGACTGAGTTACCCTCCCTGCAGAGGGAACTCACTCAGCGCTGCACGCTGGAGTAATCATTTTTCATAAACCTTTGGTAATGTAAAGCTACACGAGGCTCTTGGCTCGACAAAAAAACTACATATGTGATGTGGTATATATATGTGGTAGCATAACAACCTGTCACAGGTTACAGCGTGATGATTAGAGGAGAAATGGCAGAGCATAAAGGTCTAGGTGGAAAAAAAAACAACTCAATCATTTAGGATTTTACTAAAAGAGAAGGAAATGGACTGTTTTGTATTTGGGAGCTGTTTAAATGTGTAATTTGTGATAGATTTTATTTGTTGAACTATTAATATTGTATAAAGAATCTGAATCTCACTCTGAGTTACTGTTGTCCCTCACAAACTAAAGAAATGAGAGATTATTTTTGTTTATTTTTTATGTAATTTTTGAAGGCAAAGTGTTGACATGTAAAACTATAACACCCCTTTTGTTGCAATTATATATATATATATATATATATATTTATATATATATTACCAATTTGTCATGTGGTCAAGAATATCATTATCGCAAAAATACCCTCAAATATTGTGATATTATTTTAGGGCCATATCACCCATCCCTACTATTCTCAGACAAGGACCTTTAACCTCACTGACAGTTTTGTGACTCCGACTCTCATCTAATGTTGGTCACCAGCAGTCCAACACTACTGAAACTGGGACCCTTTGACCACACGAGACAGGCTAACAGATATGCTAGCAAGATGTCAAAGATGTCAAGCGTAGTAGTTTCAATTTTAATTTGCGATTTTTTTAAATTGCAAAGATGACCAGCATATCACAAATCAACAAGAAGCTTGGCAAATCACCTTAAAACTTTCATTAACAGCCATCTAACAAACTTCTTTTTTTGCCTGCAAAAACCTGCATGCTAACAAAGTTGCTAATTGTCACATTATTTTAGGTGCATCGATTGATGTCTTTGTCTCTCATTTAACTGCACATGTTGAAGCGTCGATTTATTGTAAACATTTCTCATTGAAGCTTCTTTCTGAGGGCAAACATTATTTTCTACATTTGGGGAGGGCAGAAGGAAATTTGCAGCAATACATTTGATTCCTTGGCCGCAGCTACAAAGCAAACAAGAGTTATTGTGCTATTCCTTAATTCTGTAACAAATGAAAAAGCATCAATCACAACATGCCACTTTAACCCCGATCATGATCATTTGCATCTACTCTGCATGTGGCAACAAAATGGAAAGTTCTAAAGCCTTTTAAACTATGCTGACGTTCCCACTTTTGTCTGTGCAGCAACCCAACTTCAAACATCAACATAATAAAGTTGGTAACAAGCAGCACTTCTCTCCCACTGACTCAGAGTGATGTTAGAGCGTAGACAGCTACTGTACATTTTCATGTCACCACATCAAAGTGAAACTACAAAGTCAGGGGTGTAAGAGCAGCAGAAAAAACAGAGAGGGCTGAGTGGAAAAACACTTTCCTACCAGGCAAAATATAAAAAGCTTGAAATTGGGCGAGTACATAGCGTGCATAAAAGTCTCTATTTGTCATTTCGTGCCTTTCAGTCTTGGTTATCAAAGAGGACTGTGAGTGTCTGGAGGTGTGTGAACTCTGGTGGGTGACGGGTGCCAGCAATCTGAGCTGGAATAAAGTCATCATGACATCATTGAGAGTGCTCACGAACCCATGTTCAAAACCTTAATAATAAATCAGTGACTTATATTTAAAGAAACATTTGCTTGACTCATATTTTTTGCTTGCTCTTCATTCTTTATAAATGAGCACAAAAAGAAATAATTTTTTATAAGTTATAATATATTTATTTATTTCATTTCTAAGTTTGAATTTTGTCACACATTCTCAGAGAAGAGTGATTTGTTGTTATTGTGTGATTGTGTGAACTGTAAATAATTTGTAAAGACCGGCAGGCTGGACCAGACCAGAAAGGTGTGTTTTTGTCTAGGTTAGCAAAGTGGTAGTTGGACCAACAGGACGGCCATTTTAAAAAACTCTTTTGTATTACTAACATTTATTACAAACAGCAGCTCCTACATACAGAAAAATAACTAAATGTTCCCAATGTTCCCAATTAATTTGTCCTCCAACTGCATCATATACTGTAGAGTAGCACCACATATCATATATGTGGTCCTGTGATTACATAATGTTTCAAAATCCAGTGATGGAGAGATATTTCAGATTGCTTTAAAATAACAGTACTACAATGGACTAGTAAGACACTCGGAGAGGGGAGCACTCCGCCTAGGCCAAATGCCCAATCTCGTTAACAAAAGTAATAAAAAATATGTGTATATATGTGTAATATGTAGACTCTTGCTTCACCCAGCCATTAAGTTTTATGAAATTTGGGCCAGTAGTTTCTTTTGATCCTGCTGACAAAAAAACAGAACCAAAAACATATTCTCTGCAACACTCCTTTGTAAAAGTGAAAGTATTATTTGCAAAATGTACTTAAAGTATCAGTACTTTGCCTCTGTGCACCATGTCTGTGAACACATGGATGCTTCACACAAAGAAGATCTATACAGTCAGCACAGTTTCCAAATGGACACCCAAGATCAGTGTCACCAATTCAGTATCTGACCAAATGTCTCCCCTTCTGCCCCTGAGATATGACACTGAATTATGATGACACAATCAAGTTGACCTTTGATCTTTTGGATAAAAAAATCATTACTTCATCATTCAATTAGACATCTGTGATAAGTTTTGTCATAATTAGTGTAAGAATTCTTAAGTTATGGCCAAAATCATGTATTGTGAGGTCACAGTGAGCTTGACATTTAACCACCAAATTCTAATCAGTTTATTCGTCAGTCCAAGGGGACGTTTGTGCCAAATTTGAAGAAATTCCCTCAAGGTACAGTACAGGCCAAAAGTTTGGACACACCTTCTCATTCAATGCGTTTTCTTTATTTTCATGACTATTTACATTGTAGATTCTCACTGAAGGCATCAAAACTATGAATGAACACATGTGGAGTTATGTACTTAACAAAAAAAGGTGAAATAACTGAAAACATGTTTTATATTCTAGTTTCTTCAAAATAGCCACCCTTTGCTCTGATTACTGCTTTGCACACTCTTGGCATTCTCTCCATGAGCTTCAAGAGGTAGTCACCTGAAATGGTTTCCACTTCACAGGTGTGCCTTATCAGGGTTAATTAGTGGAATTTCTTGCTTTATCAATGGGGTTGGGACCATCAGTTGTGTTGTGCAGAAGTCAGGTTAATACACAGCCGACAGCCCTATTGGACAACTGTTAAAATTCATATTATGGCAAGAACCAATCAGCTAACTAAAGAAAAACGAGTGGCCATCATTACTTTAAGAAATGAAGGTCAGTCAGTCCGGAAAATTGCAAAAACTTTAAATGTGTCCCCAAGTGGAGTCGCAAAAACCATCAAGCGCTACAACGAAACTGGCACACATGAGGACCGACCCAGGAAAGGAAGACCAAGAGTCACCTCTGCTTCTGAGGATAAGTTCATCCGAGTCACCAGCCTCAGAAATCGCAAGTTAACAGCAGCTCAGATCAGAGACCAGATGAATGCCACACAGAGTTCTAGCAGCAGACCCATCTCTAGAACAACTGTTAAGAGGAGACTGCGCCAATCAGGCCTTCATGGTCAAATAGCTGCTAGGAAACCACTGCTAAGGAGAGGCAACAAGCAGAAGAGATTTGTTTGGGCCAAGAAACACAAGGAATGGACATTAGACCAGTGGAAATCTGTGCTTTGGTCTGATGAGTCCAAATTTGAGATCTTTGGTTCCAACCGCCGTGTCTTTGTGAGACGCAGAAAAGGTGAACGGATGGATTCCACATGCCTGGTTCCCACTGTGAAGCATGGAGGAGGAGGTGTGATGGTGTGGGGGTGTTTTGCTGGTGACACTGTTGGGGATTTATTCAAAATTGAAGGCACACTGAACCAGCATGGCTACCACAGCATCCTGCAGCGACATGCCATCCCATCCGGTTTGCGTTTAGTTGGACGATCATTTATTTTTCAACAGGACAATGACCCCAAACACACCTCCAGGCTGTGTAAGGGCTATTTGACCAAGAAGGAGAGTGATGGAGTGCTGCGGCAGATGACCTGGCCTCCACAGTCACCGGACCTGAACCCAATCGAGATGGTTTGGGGTGAGCTGGACCGCAGAGTGAAGGCAAAGGGGCCAACAAGTGCTAAACACCTCTGGGAACTCCT